GCCTCATGCAGCAGCAGAAACCCCAGCGAAACGTGTGTCTGGGACTCTTAGCTAGTACCTATGTCGGGAGTACGGTATAATGATATTTTCACCTACAGCATGCATATAATCTACAGTTTTGTAACCGAGTGACCATGTAGGTGTCCACCATCCAGCGCTTTCGCTTTGCCAGGGCTTGCTTCCGTGCGTAATCATTTACTCCGTGCGCTATCGGCCTTTCCCACGTTATCGACCCGCTCGCCGCTTCATACGCGCGTACGCTCAAAGGTAATCGATACTTCCGCCTCATTTGATTGACGGCAGCCGACAGATTACTCATCCGGCAGCGAAAGTTTCGCTCACCAACAAAACTGTGGGGACTCACTTGGCTCGTACACGCAGCTGGCAGTTGCCTCATAACACGGCCTCTATTTTCTGGCAGTAAATTTCTGTCCACCAACATTGTCTTGCCTGAATTGTGATTCGGGGAATCCTCCTGCTTTTCGAGACAACTACCACCCGTGACAACACCTTCAGTCCTTCCATGATACAGTTAAGTTGGTGGGTGGGGCTAAAAAGCTGTCTAACTTCATTGCTACAAATGTGATTTAAGTGTTTTAATTTGATAAATCTTCCTACTTATTCCTTGCTTCCGACAAATAACGTAAGGCCCCCTCCCGACTTAAACGTAGTAGGCGATAAAGTCACACATCACAAATTTAAAGCGGGCAAACTTTTGTAATACCCAGTGCCACACCCTTAAAGGGTGGGCCTATTCAACGCAAAACCTAAAAACCAGAATACTCCAGAAAGGCTTGTCAGCTTATCGAAATTTGCACCAGAAAATTATGATCTAGTAGACATGCTCCTTTTATTATAGAGGACCGAACTAACAAACCCTTAGTGAACCAGATGTTAAAATAATGTTTTATTTTGACTGTGTAAAAGTTGAAATTACTTGTCGGTTTCAGAGATTCTTCCGTCCGTTCCTCGTGGACCTCTACGAGTGGTGTTAACAACGTCATCTGTCAGATTCAGGTCCATGTTGGGCTTTATCTCATCATGTTCACTATCCAGAGCGTCGTCAATAATAATCAGTTTGACCCCAGATCCGGAGTAGCCAGCTATGTGAACGGGGGCCACATTAACGTCTAGTCCGGCAGTTGAACTGCCGTACTTGCTGCCGTCATTTAACTGAACAAACAAAAATGCGGACATGAAGGTTAGGTTTTGGGAGGGGATAAGACATATACCTCGCCTAAGCGGATTAGATCATAACATCAAAAAATGACCTTTCTGAATGTCAATATGAAGCCCAAAGAGAGGAAAGAAGGTGGGGAAAACATGAGCTCTGCACCTGTAAAAGGTTTTCGGTTTTGCACAGAGAGGGTCTACTGTATATCTGAGGTCTGGAATAAACTGTATTAGGCTTCTAACTCTGGCAGGGTATAAACAATTTGAAATTTAACTCCACAATCTACGTTATTGAGACCTCAATGACAATTTCAACGTGTTGAGTTAAATGATTACGTAAAAGTTATGATAAAGGGGTTAACTTTTCTTATTGGTAAATTAAAGTTTCCCTAAAGGCTAATACCTTCTTTCCATATTTCGGAAACAAAATGAAAAAATAAATTAAAAAACAGTAGGTGTATTAGAAGGATTCAATGTAAGTTAACGGGGAAATAAATATTGTCGTTCAGCTGCAAAGCAAACCATCTGGGTCAACGTCTGTCTGAGAGCAGTTTTAGGTTTGACCAGACAAACAGGTGGGATTACTCAAACCAAAAGACAAAAATTCATCAAGGTGGGGGACTTGAAACGTCAGTTTTCAAGCAGCGACTTTCCGCGATCATAAAAGTTTGATATCACAGTACTTTTGTGCTTGCATGCGAAAATATGTTGAAACCTACGACTACGTTTGTACTTGTAATGCTTTAAAGGGACGGAGTTGTGCCTATACCTATAAAAATCAGAGTTTCAGTTTTGTTCTCCACAGCAATTTATTACCATAAACACTGATACGGGCGTAAATAATAGTGTCCGACATTGTATATTGTTGACTAATAAGCTAAAATTAGTTTTGAAAAATCAAAACAGGAAATAAGTATAACCAATGTAATCCGAATAAATCGTTAGGTGTGGACAGGGTGCTCTAGCAAAATGTTTGTAACTAAGCTTATGTATAAACTCTTAAAAGTTAAAGGAGGCCTCTGGGCTAGCGAGTGGTTTTTTAAGTAGTGAAGCATAAGGGAGGACCTCTATACGGATCATACGGCGCTCATTATCAAAATAAATCCAAACCTCGTTGATAAACAGCTGGGCAATCCTTTTTTCAGCAACAAAAAGACAGCGGTTCTAACCGAAGTCGCGTGGACAGTCACCGCTTTGACCTGCATCAAATGTATCCCCTCTTGGTTGCAAAGGCGCCAGACACTACTTACGTTTTTTCTTTCTAATTAACGTCAAACAGACTGAATTTAGACGCAGATTATAAACAATTTTTTTATATCAGCCACCTGAAACGAAGCGTAGGAAAAAAGATGACACCAAACAAACCCATTGTCTGAAGTTGCCTCGCACAGCGTCGTGTTCAGGAGTCTCTTACATGCAAACTCTTAAAGAACACTTTGTATTCATCAGTTTGTGAGAAAACATTTAGCTCAAACAGGAGTCTCCTTTTATTTGTTACGGTTTCTTGGGCTCTATTTTTCAATATATAAGCATGCTAACTAACTAAGTATAGTATCTGAAAAATGGTCAGATAAGCTATTACAAAATATCCAATATGATTGTCTAAAGCAACAGCGTTAAACTCCAAATAAACTGCTTTGTTTCTATCTGCATCATCGTAAGTCTCCTGTTGCGTTTATAATAAAATAACAAAATATGCCGCGAATGACTGCATCAAACTTACAAACTCCCATGCATCATCTGCGACAGGGTCGTTTAGTTTCAGGGCTTTTCTCAACCTTCTGGCTCGGAGTTTGGCAGCCCTAAAATAGGCTTTGTCCGTCTACATTCAAAATAAAGAAAATTTAGCGTTTGGCTGTTTACGGTGCTGATTTTGCAGTGCAATGATAAACCCTTAAAATGGTGGTTTAAATCGTCCATGTTATCGGAGGAGACTAATACTCTGTGCTCTCTTGCGAATATAGAGCATGGTCG